TCTTTGTTTAACGCAGCGAGTGAACCAGGTCACTCGAGGACCGGCTCGACCACTGAGTTCGTATTTTTTAGCACAGCTCTTAACAATGTTCAGATGTACAATAAACCACTGAGTTAAGAGGTTTTGAGCACTGCTCTTAACAATGTGAGATGTAAAATAAATCCAGTGTCATCACAAGTTTCACATATCCCTGGAAGCTTGAGAATGATACATAAAACTTGCTCAATCTTCAAAGTGTCATTATCATTCTAAAAATGCAATCATAAATATGTATGAATACTTATGTATTAAATAATATATATATATAGGCTATTCAACCCAAAATGAGCTTCTGGAGGTTGTATTTTTAGATATAGAATATAGTACCGCAGCATCTTCATAGGTTTGGCCACCACTCTCAGAGCTTAATTGGAATGGGCAATCGAAGTAATGTTCTTGTGGAGAACTGGAAAGTACAATTTCACCTACACAAGCAATAGAATGATCAAATTAAAGCAAATTCTATCTGCAAATATGTTCCATAGAATTCTTCAAATAATACACAATCTACAGTAAATCAGTGTCCCGGTTACCTTTACGTAAAACTCTTAGACCACAATCCCCAACATTTGCAATCTTAAGAATTCCATTTTTCTCCAACATAGCAATAATTCTGTTAGAAATCTTTGTTAAAGAAAATACTCAATATGCAATTATAGATTCAGTCTGGCGACATAAAACAGAAGAAGAGGCAGAGAAAACCCATGTAATCTCTATTAATTTGGAGAACATTTGCAATCTTAACGATTCCATTTTTCTCCAACATAGCAACAATTCTTTTGGAAATCTTTGTTGAAGAAAACACTCAATATGCAATTATAGATTGACAGTCTAGGAACATAAAAAAAATAGCAGCAGAGAAAACCATGTAATCTCCATCAATTTGAAATCTTCATACATCAAGTACTTTACATTATATCATGCTTATGACAAAATTTAAACTGGTTTTGGAAAGAATTGATGATGGCTAACCTTAAAAACTTTGGTCCCATTTGGGTCAAATTTTCAACAAGGTGGAGGCGGCCGCCTAGGTGGCCAGGGACCCTGACCACTTAGGCAGCAGGCCCTGGTTTTTGGTTTTTTTTTGTTTGTTTTGTTGGGTGTTGGGGGCGGGGGGGGCACCTCTCCCTTTTATTGTTTTGATTTGTATAAAAAATGCCTGGCAATGTGCAGTTGAATAAAAATGTACTCTCAATATCATATGTTATAATGTAAATGTCCACATGTGTACTTTTTCTAGAACCATATCCTCTCTTTCTTCTACAAAATAAAGAAAGGTATTTTACTAGATTAAAAAAAAAAAGGATACTTTACTTTTTTAAGAACTGTGCCAGGTACTTTACTTTTTTAAAGAACAAAAATTAAAGACAAGATACATTTATTGAAAAACGATACTTTTTCTCTAAAAGAAATGAATAGAAGTATAAACAATAAAAATTCTCTCTCCATTAAGGAGGTGGCACCAGGAGGGCTCCCAGACCTGCCTAGGCAGCCACCTTAAACAAGTCCGCCTGGATGCCCCGCCTAGGCCACGTCTAGGCAGTTTGAGAAACAGGCTGCCTAGGTGGTCAGGTGGTCCAATTTTTGTACATTAGGGAACCAAATTTCAGCAATACCATATTTTCACCCTTGTTCCTTTAGGAATGAAAAAGGGCCCACCTTGGTCAGATCCTATATACATGGGTGAAACTTTTGGCCCAGTTCGTCAAAGAAAAATAGCCAAATCTTATTCGGGCATCCTAACAGGGCCTTAACATTGTCTTCATTTTTTAAAATAGCAAAGAAACTACTCAAAAGATTTAAGTCCCAAACTAATAATCATGTGAAAGCCAACCATCATAGAGTGATCATTGTCTGTAGAGTCTATTTCAGGAGAAACCCAAGAAAGCCTTACATCACTTGTGTGGTTCCCACCGTCTATAAATCAGAACATAAAATAAGGAAACAAAGCATCAGATGAGGAAATGCCGGACCAGCCCCGTTGTGGCCCAGGCCCAGCCCTTGGAGCCATATTCTGTGGCCTAGGCCCTAGTTTTACAAGGTGCCATGCGCCTGGCCCATTACCAGACCTAAAAAATACTACAAACAGAACTTAATCTTGGATTGGCACTCAGAGCCATTAACAATTTAATTGGAAAAAAGAAAAGACACAAGAGGTTTCTTTGCAAATTAGACAATATTAGCTACTGGAATGGCAACAGGATAACTTACTCCACAAGGAGCATTAACTCAGATACCCAATTCTGAAGGTTTCATATCCATCATATGTAAAATACACCAACTGTGATGAGAATATGTTGTAAAGTATGAATCTTGTGAACCAACACATAATCTCATGGTAAATTTTTGTAGCCCAAGCATTTACATAAAACAAATCAATGTAAAATCTGAAATCAAACATTAAACCTTTGTCAATCTCTTGCTCCAATTTCTTTTCAAGCCTTACCTTGGGATATTTCATATTTACTACATTGTCAAGCTCACAATTCCTTAGGGTCAGTCTACCACATTTCATAGGCCAAGCTGGGCCTTTCAACCCATGTTCTTACGAAATCTTGAGAAAACCATAGAACACATGAACCTAATCAATCAAGTTAGAAAGTGAAGCCACATGTATATTACTGCTAATTTAGTATCACCAAAGTAGAAAATATTTAAAGAAATATAACTTTACAACTATATTTGCTCTATATATAATTAATTGCAATTATATCCTTGTCAACAATATCATCTTAGAACTTCATAATGGTCAATGGAAGAGATTGAGATATTGGAGATGGCATCAATTTCTAATATTGAGCAATCAACACTGATGAAGCAGAAAATAATGAGACTACAAAAGGAATTGAACTGCTGCAAAATTCAAGAAATTTGGCGCTACTTGAAAGAAAGAACTAAAGAAAAACAACTTACACAGTCGCGGAACCTATAGAGGATGTAGCTGCATGTGCTTTTCCGAGTAGGAGGCAAGGATCACCCTTCACTTATCAATAACAAAAGATTTACCAGACATCCATAAACAAATAAAATCTACAGATAATGAAATTATACAACAAAATATTTCTTCTAATTCATGGTATCAATTATTCCGACATGGTGTACAATGAGCAAGCTGCACAAACTAAAAATAAAATGAAAGATTTTAAAGGACAGTACACCAACCCAAATCCTTTCAAGAGTTATTGTTTTGAGAAAGTGCTTGCCATACCCTCCAATGCACATATGAATGTATTAATTGTGATATGCTTAGTGTTCTCATGCTACAAGTAATGCTTGTAAATTGTAATATTGGCATTAAAACTCTATGTAGTGCATTAGCTTCAATGACATAGCAACTACTGAGAAATATAAATAAAGCCAGTAAGGCAAGCACTAGTTTATCCATCAGAAGATTGAAAAGAGAATAATTACAATGCGTGTTGAAAATAACTAAAAGCACCAGATGCCAGGCAAATATGGATTCTTGAGCTTGGATGTAAAATTGCTCTTCGAGAAGTTGGTGCAAGAAACAAAATAAACAGAAAATTAGAAAAATACACCTCACTTTTCAATTATTTAACATGTTACCCTTTTTCTACTATCCCCACTCAAAATCAAGTGCATTTTGATGCGTATTTTGAAATTGAATCAAGATATGTGCGCAAATGTTAAATGTTTATTATCTAAGGCATATTTTGACAAATTTCCCTAAAAGCAATATTTCATTTTCTAAGATGGTGATCAAAACATCGACACGAAGGGGAAGATGCCCTTTTGCTGCCAAGTATGTCATCCACAACTCAGTGCTACATCTATTTGGTTTAACAAGGCAGGGGATACAGAGAGAAATTAACTAGCTAAAGCACTTGCTAAATGGCTCACCAGATCCTGCTCATTGGACCTCAAAATAAGGTAAAGTAGTAAGGAATTTGTGGATCTTCTCAAGTGTAACTTGAATGGCAAAGCAAATTTTAGGCAATCCTTATATTTTAGGCAAGTCAACTGTTTACAGCCAAATCTCAAGAGATCTTGGATGAAACCTCCCCGAATTCATGCTCTAACGGGTTAAAATTTATAATTAGTAAAGACTATAGGGATCGGTCAAATTATGATTCAAAGATCCTGATCTCGAAAGATGAACCCCCTTTGAGAACTGCTAGTAGAAATGGCTTGAAATCATCCATAAGGGCATGTTTAGTACGTGTGAAAATACTTCCATAGAAGTATTTTCACATGAAAAAACTCCCTCATGTGATTAGGTGTGGGAGTTTTTTCACACCAATTGGCCCCAGCACATTTTTTCACACCAATAGGCAGCCAATTAGTATGAAAAAACTCCACACCAAATTACATGGGGAGTTTTTCACGTGAAAATACTTTCATAGAAATATTTTCACACGTAACAAACATGCTGTTAAGAAACCGGGAAAAGAAATAGAAGAAAAGAAAATAGATTAAAATTAAAGAAAAGAAAACTTATTTGGAATCTGGTCCCTCTGGACTGGCACCCAAAGTCCGTGGCCCAGATTAGACTATTAGTTGAAGCATCTTCATCCTCAACCCCAGAGCTTTGCTTCAATGAGCAGCACCTAAGGTGTATCCATCCTAGTTTTGATTTGCTGAAGGCATGTCTACGTAAGGCTTATGGATTAGGGTTTGAAAATTGTAGGGAACTAGAGTAGTAGAAAACTGGCTTAGGGTTGAGTCCCCTAAGCTTTTCTAGGGTTTGCTCAAGCCTAAGGGATTTTCTCTAATTTCTAAGGATTTTTCCAGGAATTTAGGCTATCTACTTGAAGGTCTGAGTTCTAAAAAACCCAAGGGAGTTCATATAGGACTTTGGTTGGCTCCTAGTTCAATTGGGATAAGGATTTCAATGTTTAGCTCTAGATTTCTAAGACTATAAAGATTAGGCTTCTAAAGCTTTTGCATAGGACAAATCCACAGTCAAAACAGAGACTAGACCATTCCAGAAAGTCAAAGAGCCCCAGGCCATATCACCTAGTCTCTATAATTTTCTGAAGTCTGGAACCTGCGACGCAGTATGCGTCGCCAGAGCCTGACAGGCCAGCTACGCATACAGCATCCCTAAGCAAGATCTAGCTCAACTTTGGCTAGGAGCTTCCAGACCGTTCTTCAAACCCACTGGTGGTGGTCTGGTGACCTCTTCTGGGACTCACAATCTGAGGTTTTCTAAGGTTTCTGTTCTGTCCTGGATAAGTCTAAATCATTCAGAATGTTTTCAGAAAGTTTTAGGTTGGTTTTCCTAGATTTGGGTAGACTTAACTGGATTTGGTGGTTTTTACCTTAGGATTATGGACTAATGGTTGGGTGTACTAGGCTAGTATGGTTCCTATGGTTCACGGTTACAGGTTTCTGGGAAATTAGGGTATTCAGGAAATAAGGAAATTAGCCAAGTTCAAATTGAGTGTCTACCCCAACAAATCTCAATGGGACAAGATTGTTGAGAAGTACAAAAGAAAACTAGCATCTTAGTGCCTATTTCTTTCACGGGGAGGAAGAAGAAACTTAGTCAAAGCCACAATCCCCAACATCCTGATGTCCCAAATGTCAGTATCACACATGCCTATAGAGTATAGAAAACTCAAAGAGAGCTGAATTACTAAAACTCGAAGAGGGTACCATTACCCCATTGGAGAAATGGTGATAACAAGTCACCATGACCATCAGTGGCCCCAACTTATCATGTACACATATGGCACCAACCCCATGGGCTGGATACCTAAAGAATCCAGCTCCTCGACAACATTGCTAAGGCTATTCTTGGGTACATGGAAGGGGAACAGTACAAAAAAGAAGGATTTCTTAAAAACACGTTAGATTCATAGGGACAAGAGGGGTTGAAATGAGGATATGGAGGGACCCATGGCCATGGGTTGGCCAGGAGACTTTCGAATGCGCCTCCCATGATTTTACCGACTGGCTATAGAATGGGAAGTGTCAGTAGCAAGAGTAGTTGCTTCAGAGTTCAACAAGTCTGGACTCCTATGTTCAGACAAACTAAGTGACAATGAGACCATGGATTAAGCCACAAAACATGCTGAAGTCCAGTTTAATCCCAAAGGGCTCAGACAAATTAATATGGTGTCCCAAACCCAAAAGGAACCTTCAAAGTTGCTTCAATTTACAAGGCTCTACACACATCAAACCAGTCCATGGAAACAGCAGCCTTGCTTGCTTGATCCCAACACCCCCAAAAATGCAAGGCTTCAACTAGTTTGTGATATCTAAGAAAGCCCAGGAATTGGATCATCTCCAAATAAGGGCATCCCCTCCCCAATTGGTGTGTCATGCGCCTTGAGGAAGAGGAAACCATAGACCACTCTTTCTACACCACAAACCGGCAACTGAAATCTGCTCCTTCTTGACAGTGTTCGACTTCACCTGGTATCGACCTAGGACCATCGACAACATTTTGTCGTCATGGATATTTTCCCCATTCCCACTCACATGCAGATTACTCTGGTTTATCTCTATCCATGCATTTGGGAAATATGGTTGGGAAGAAACCGTGAACGTTCCAAGGGGCAACTGTCAAGGAAATATCATCGATCAATTGCATCATGTCCCTAGCCTTGTCTTGGGTGATGATCCATAAGGAAGTCCATGACTTCTTGGCGACCATTCTATAAAGCCAGTAGAAAAACATTGTGGGATCCAAACCTTAGAAAACCAAAAAATCCCCAAACTGGATACCATCAACCCTCAGCAAAGTCGAGCTCAACTTCACTGGAAATTCCTAACAAATTCAGGATCAACAAGCGATGGAGACTCACTCAGTCACGAAAACTCAGGCCCTCCATTGGAGAATCCAAATATCTGATAGAAATTAGGGAAGTCATTTAGTGATAGAGGGCTAGAAAATCGGCTCAGGTCCCATGAAGTTTCAGGCATGTGTTTGACAAAAACAATAGTTTCCAACACACTTGGAGAGAAACTAATACTCCAGCAGAGATGCCATAGCTAATGAAGGAATCGCATACATGTACTTCTATCTGCCACACCCAACACAACAACTAAATCATTCAAGGCAAATCTCCTAGGCAACATTTTTCTCTTGGTCCTTCTCCCGGCTGTCTTCTATCTTAGCCATACCATTTTTACCCCACCGTCTTTTGTATAGAAAATAGAATGCAACACATTAGAATCTTGCATATAGGTTAAATTTGTAAACACAATATAGAATTACTTGGTAGTCATCAAGTTTATCAAAAGTGAAATGCAGATACCAATTGAAAAAAAGGGAGAAATGGTGAAGCACGTTTTACATTTAGATAGGTTCTGAATTCTTGTTGAACTCATGGTTTCCATCTCTATGTTTTGGACTCCTTGGATGAATGGCTATAAAAAATTGTCATAAGCACTTGGCTCCTCTACTCTCCATCTCTAGAGCACTTCCTAAGGCCAACAATCCGTTCCTTCTGTACAAAAGGTTATCCTCTTCACTATGTGAGATTAATGCAATCGAATACAGTCCTGCTGGCCAAGCAAAAAAGAGCAAAGCCTATATGAATTATTTGAACTGATTTAATACTTGTAGATTCAGAAACTGATGAGATTATGTAAGTGGAGAACAAGCATGGATCCTTCGAAGTAACAAAATGACATAACAAAATCCTTGAAACTACAAATTAACCCTTTTTTTTTTTTGGTGGGGGGGGGGGGGTTGATAAGCAGCGAAGCATTGAAGCCCTTGAAATAACGTTGAGGTTTCATAGCCCTGGCCAACAAGGCAAGAGTCTTTTCTGACTACAAAATGAACTGAAGAAGATAAACTACCAAAGCGATACTTCACTATATTGAAACAAAGGGGTAGTGTTCATTGCAACTAGTGAAGCTTTTTACAGTACTTTAAAGTCATGCTCTTTAGACAGGTTTGGGCAGAAGAACGACACACCCAGCCGCCCGCGATTGACATCAGATGCCTGGGGCTATTGTTCAAGAAACTTCAACGTACACATTGGATATGGAGCCCAAATTAAAATTCCACAGACAAGCGTTAATTTTAATATTACTAATAATGTTATTATACTCCAATGCTACAGTTTAGGCTAAGACAGAGCTCCAAGGCTGGACGGACTTGACAGTCTTTTATTAAGCCTTCTTTGAGATTGTCATTGATGATTTGATGCACCTTTTCTCTGAGTTGGAATGAATGCTACTTTCATTACATTAATTCCAATGAAAGAGGGCATTGAACATATTAGAGACTTCCAGCCAATCAGACTTACAAGTAGAACTTGTAAGATTTTGGCATAAGTGTTGCTGGCTTAGAGACTAAAGAGGTCATCTCTCCCCTTCCAAAGGCGCCTTCATTAAAGGCTGGCAAATTTTGGACTCAGCTTTGGTAGCACGAGTGCGTCTATCAAAGTCATATGGGCATTTCAGCGCTCATGTGCAAGATGGATCTAGAGAAAACCTTATAACCATGTTAATAGGCCAGTCCAAGATCAATCTACGTCTCTCATTGTGTTTGGCTGACACTCTCGGATCACCACCTATATCTCCTCTGCAAGATTTCCAATCTTTAACAATAGAACCCCCGGGATTCTTCAGATGCTTTAGGGGTCTTTACCAAGGTCAACTACTCTCACCTTTCCTATTTTCAAAAAGTGGAATGCTTTCTCCAGTGCATGCAGCTAGACCTATCTAGGAGTCCAAAGCCAACTCCACAGGACCTTTGATGTCACATCTCCAGCATGCCTATGATGCACTAATATTTGTTACCCAGATCATAGACAGATGGACAATAGTTGGCTGTTCTAGAGATGCTTCAAGTACGCTTCTCAACTTCAGGTAAATATTAACAAGACAAAATTGTTGGGGAAGGATCTAAACCAAATTGCGCTTCAAAGTTTCACAAATCCAACAGGCTGTGGTACTGAACTCCTACCTAGCAAATACCAAGGTTTTACTTATGCGTGGGCAAGCTAAATAAAGCAGTTTGGGAAAAAGTTATAGAGAGGTTTGAGGGATGGTTGGCCTCGTGGAAACATTTGCTAGATCTGAATACGGGCTCACAATACCCTTATAAAAGCAACTCATTCCAATTATCATCATCCGAGCCCTATCCCAACTATTTGGGATCAGCTACACTAAACTTGTTCAGTCATTCTGCTCTATCAAGGCTCATACCCTCAATCAGACTATAAGTCACCATATCTCTTCTCACTACTTCTATCTATGTCTTTTTGTGTCCTCCCCATTTCTTTTTAAAGCTTTGAACCAAATCGCCTCTCCTAACCAGTGCTATGCTAGGTCGACGCTGCACATGGCCAGACCACCTAAATTTACTTTCCCTCATCTTATCACCTATTGAAGCCACCCCTGTTCCCCATATATATTCATTCCAAATTCTATCATTTCTTGTCTTGCCACTCATACATCTCAACATCATCATCTCAGCTACGGTCATTCTATGGATATGTTGTTTCTTGCCCGCCCAACATTCCATTCCATAAAGCACGATTGGTCTTACAGCCATCCTATAGAATTTACGCTTCAGTTTCATTAGTAGGAAAATATCATATAAAACTCGAGAAGCACATCTCCACTTCGTCCACCTAACTCTAATTCCATGCACGACATATTCCTCAATCTCTCCATTCTTATAGATTATCGACCCAAGATATCAAAAATAATCTCTTTTACTAGTATATGTTGTGTCCTTATTCTGTATTGCTAAATGAGTGGTGAAGAAAATCTAGAAACTCTAGCGCCATTTCCTCTATAAGGGGCCCCACGAAGTTAACATGTACCATTTCTTCAACTGTGAAACAATTTGGCACCCCAAAGATTAAGGTGGTCATGGCATTGATCAAAAGGTTAATGTGGCTTTGTTGGAGAACTGGAACTGGAGGTTTGGGGAGCCACAAGGACATCTGTGGATCGATGCAAACCATAGATCACATTTCAGGAGCTTGGAAAACATCAGATCAACCACAAACCAAGGCCTGACCCAAATTAAATTCAAGGAAATCCAATCTTGGATGGTCTTATGGTTGGGATCTCAAATATTTGCATAGTGGTTCCATAGTCTGGTAGAGGTAGCCCCCAAGATCAATATCACAGACTCATAAATGTTTGAACGAACCAATGACCACCTGATATGCAGCACAACATTTAGACGCGCCTCAAGGACAATGAGCTACAAACTACATCAAGTTGCACAAGCTAATTCAGCAAGCATGTATCCCAACCTCCAGAGTAGACAAGATGGTCTGTGCCCAAAAAGTAACCATTTTTTCTGAGCGTCCTGCTCTTATTCTCCAGTCCTACCAGCAGTAGCTTTAAAGTTTTGGTCTATCCAGGATCCTCAAATGTTCAGGTGTTTTTTTGATTGGCTAGAATACACAATGCACTTACTGTTAACCATCTTAGAAACCATAGTGAGCCTATCCGTCATAGGTACACCATATGTGAAGAAGATGAGGAAACGGTGCATCACCGATTTCTCATTTGCAAAGTAGCTAAAGCTATTTGGACCTAACTATTTTTGGCCTTGGCTGGGTCTGTCCTCCCTGTCAAGCACCATTTTAGCAACACTACCCCTTCCAAGGGCGGGAATGATCCTTTAGTATGGCCAAAATGAAAGGAAAATTAGTGCTCACATTATTGATTGGGCACTAACATGGAAAGACCTCTGGGGATTCACATATGGAGACCTACACCCCACTGGCAAACCATAGGATGGACTTCATATTGTAAAAGAAGCCATCATTGGATCACTCGGGCAACAATGGCCATCTTATTGAATTTTGATAGTGGATCTAGGGGTAACGCAGGTCCAACAAGGAATTGGAGGTATCTTCTTAAATCACCATGGGGGAAGGTTTATGTGATCTGGAACAACAGGAACATGTACCAAAAATGAATCTGAAGTAAAGCACAGCGTGCTCGTATCAGGATATAGAAGCCAGAGTGGGGCACGGGCATTATTATGGTGGAAAGAGACTAGGCAAAAACCAAAGATGGGCCCATAATCCCTCAAGTTGCCCAGGGAGACTTCAAGAAAACTTCAGTGCAACTCAATTTATCTCACTAGGCTCAAATGTGATCTTCCAGCACTCTTGACCAGAATCGGATGAGTATCCAGATATCATATCCAAAGAAAGTATACTCAGAACTGGTTTTTTTCATCGATCCAATGACATAAGCTGAGCTGCTCCTATTTTTGTAATAGTAGTATTTTGTCCATAGTATAGAGCATCAAATTTGTAAAAATTTGATTTCATCAATAAAAAACAATATAGCAATTCATCACAAAAGACTTTGTTGTTCTGCTCAAAGAAGAATACCTCAACATCACCTACTAAACAAGAAGCATTAGCCATCAGTTCTTGTGAAAAAACAGCAGGATTTATGTTTCGCTCTGCCCACCTGTCATCCAAACCCTTTAACTTCTTATAGTACTCTAGCATTCAGTAACATCTTTTACAAAGAGAATATCTATATGTTTTCTATATAGGAAAAAGAAGTTATATTTCTATGAATAGCTTCTCACCCAGAAACACCATCGGCAACGGCAATAACCCCACCATTGTGATTGCTCACAAAGAAAGCATCTTCACCACCTTTATCGACCTTGACATGATAAAATGAATGAAAGAAGCCATAAATGAATCAAAACCAAATTGAGAGAAATTCCCATTCCAAATCAACAAGATATTAATAGCTTTATCACCCAAAAGTGAAAAAGGAGACATAGGTGCACCTTTGCTGGATGTGGGATAAGGTGAGTTCCAACAGAAAGGGACACTTCAGTCCTACAGCCAGTGAAAAATATATCAATATGATGGCTACAATGTTCACACCTCCTTCACAAATATCAAGCAGGTAGGATTCACATATCTATTCAAAAATTGAACATTCTATCGGTGGGTTCAAGCCTTTGTCGCATAAATACGTTCCCACAGTCACAAAATCGATGCACGACAGAACAAATTTGGATAGTTCAGGGTACATTTGCGAATCTAGCAACGAGACCCAGTCGACAGAGAAAAGGAAAAGCAAATGACACACGATTCCTTTGTTCCTTAAAGCTCTTGAACAGTTAACACAGACACACGCACACACAAAATGTGTTTCAACCATATTCAAGGAAAGAACCCAATTCACAAAACAGAAAAAGGGAGAAACCCATGATTCCAGTTCACATTAAAGTTCTTCAGTAGGTGAAAAGAATACACAATTATATGTTAAACATTGAGAGTTTCAGACCAACCTAAGCAGAGCAGGTGGGGCTTCATCAAAGGCAGCAGAAGAGCATGAAAACACAGGAAATGAAGGCTTAGTCATATTAAGCCACCGCAAACGTGAGGAATTTGAAGGGAAAGAAGGCGAGAAAGGGTGAAATGGCATTGCTGGATTGGCCATAGGCGCTACAGCCATGAGGCCTTAAATCTCTCTCACACCATGTTAATCATTACGTGGAAAGCCGAGGATTTTAACTTGTTGAGCTCGGAGGAGGCCACGTTGCAAATAAAAATTACTTCTATGACCATTCTTCCCGGTGTTGTTACAATTAGATTCGGAAGAAGGCTTCATAATTGCTTTTTTTAAAAATAAAAATAAAAAAACTAGATATAATAATTACATAAAAAAAACGGTTGGACCGTTGGTTAAAATTGGTTTTAGATGGACCACCTATTTGCATCCAGTTTTAAGATTGATGATTTATACCTCCAAACCGCATATTGTTGAAATGCAGTCGAGTCCACATGAAGTAATTGTTTTTTTTTAAAAGATTTTAATATAAATAAAGTTTGGATGAGGTTTTTATAAAGCGTGGACCATATGAAAATAAAATAAATCCTCACTTTCATTTTCATGATAGCTTTGAAATCAATTTTCAACACCGACGATGAAATTAAAAATTCAAAACATAGTAAAATCTTGCGGATCTATGAATATTTATTTTTAAGGCAAAATAGACAGTTTAGATAATTTGTTAAAATATATATTATTTTTAGAGTTTGAAATCCTAATTTGCTTCCACAATCATAATGTTCAAGCCAAGATGATCGATGTAAAAGTTTTATAATGCATGAAGTACAATGTTCGATGAGTTCCAAGGTGAGGCTTTACTTATTTTGATAGCATCGCAACCCTATCAAACTATTTTCCATGAAAATTTATTTAATTAATAAAAATTTAAAACTAACAAATTCAAAAAAAATTACTGAAAATATCTATGTTTCATCTAAAATGGCGGAAGAGGCTAAATCAGACTGAAGTGGGTCAAAGCTTTAGCCAAAGAGGACGAATTAGACTGAAGCGGACTAAAGTGGTCCGCGGCAGGCCCAAGCAGATGCATGAGAGCTTCGCTTTCCTTCGATCTAGGCAAAAAAAAATCTAAAAACTTTGGCCTCTCCTGACGATGCGAAGCGAATCTCACAATATTACTATTTCCTTCCTTGACTTATTATGTTTCATTTTTGTTTTTGGAGAACTACTTATTCAAAAATCAAGATTATAGTTAGCAAGTCTCCCATTAAAACACAATTTTTTCAAAATAATCTCCAATTTTTTAAAATCTATTGAGAACTTTGGGTTTTTCAAAAGATCTACAAAAAAAATGCATTTTTTTAATAGAATCAATACAAATCGGTATTTTATCTTTCTTCAAAAAACTTTTCAAAAAAATTCCTCCCTATAATTTTATCTCTTCCTTTATTAAGCATATTTGAATCTTGGTTTAGAGATAACCACATTAAAAGTTGAAGGTGAAGCAAATTAAAAATCTTGATTTAACAAAAATTTCCATTAAAAATTATCACCAATATGTTCTCTTAAAAAACTACAATATATTCTCTACAAAATAATCCATCAAAATAACCACATATCTCAAAACACTAGTTAGAATTAGATTGAAAACTCTTTTTTTCCACTAAACACAGATTGTCATTATAGGGAACAAAAGAGAGATGGACAACCAAATATTTAGGCTGCTAGGAATTTAGGGTGAGCTTCAAATATTTGGATTTACTTAAGCATTTTGTTATTATTTTTTGCATAAATAATTTTTATTAATTTCACCTTTTCAATTTTATTTTATTTTATTAGTGTATACAAGCATAACAATTTTGATGGATTACTATTTTAAATTTTTACATTTTTGGGTTTTAGTTAATTGCAATCCTATATTAATGATGTCTTTGAATTTTTCTTCCAACAATAATCCCATACCTTGTTTCCGTTCTTGTTATTTGCGAGTGTGGTTCTTGTATTTAGTATTGTTGTCGTTGTTATAAAATTGTATGTTTCTAATAAATCTATCACATATTTTGTATCAGGAAAACGTAGCAAGGATTGTTGCATTTATTGAAAGTTAAACAAAAATTTGTCAAGTATGACTCTAACGATACGAGATAATAAAATTTAAAGTTTAATGGTTTTAATATATCCATACAATAACGGCATCTCAGAATCTTCAACTGCAATATATATATATATATTTTTTATTTTACACTATTTTTTTTATCCAAATTCAAAATGTTTATGATTTTCTAAATTAACTAATTTTTGACGATCTGTATTTTTTACCCAATTTTTTGCATCCAACTTTTTGGGCCAAAACCAATTTATCAGCGATGTTTAATATCATTATTCCTTGCCTTGTTGACTATGATCTAGATCTGTTTTTTAAATGAAACCAACCTAGAAATCCAGGTCTGTTTGTACATTGTCGATTTGCAATATTGTTCCCCAAGGTTAGATTGACAATAACAATTTTTAAACACTGTTTAACATCCCCGCTTCGAGATCGGAATGGCCAACCCTTGTTATTTTTGAAGAAATCAAATAATAGAAATAAAGAGAATAAATGGCGAAAATATAAAGAAAAATATAAAATCAAGAATTCATAAATTTGATATTACAGGTGTATAATTCAAATTCAAAACTAAAACACTTCAACCAAAAAACACTTTTGAAAGAAAATGGCAAGAACGAATTGGCCAAAACAAAAAAACAAAAAACAAAAATTGATTTTAGATTATTCAAAATAATTGGTTCAGGCTTTTGTGGATAAATGCGATAAAACGTTTTAGGACAAATTTGAATGGATTTGGTGAAATAAAGAGAGGGATATGAAAGATTTTTTATTTCGGGTTCATAAACTCCTAAAATTTAGACACTCAATTTTCTTTTATTTTGATTCCTCGTCCATTTATTTAGAGGATTGCTTTGTTAATGTGCTCAAATGCCAACAATTGGAAATAGGTTTCAAGTTGTTTGGTTGAAATTCGAGGGATAATAAAGGTATATTTATGATAATTTCCTTATTTAATAGTGTTTCACAAGTATTTTGAGTAATCAATTTAGATCCTCTTATTTCTATTCGTGCTCAAGAAATTATTTGATGGAAAAATCTTAGCAATTTGTTGTTCACTTATTAATTGTACATCAGTCTATTTGATATAAGATATCCTTACATTTTATAATAGGAAAAAGTTTACATAAGGTGTCAACCTTATATTGTACAAGTAAGGTGCACCTCAAAAGTTACAGGAAAAGGCTGTTTCATCATTAGAGATCCCTCCAATTGGTCATATCCACTTCAATATCTATGAATATGAAAGACAAATTGAATTTTAAGTATTAATAATGGTACATCTTGTAACCCATTATCTAGACCGTCCATTATCAAGATATTTAAGTATCCATAGATTTGCTAGATTTGAACCATTTGTGGAGCGTTTAATTTCCTAATAGGGGTGAAAAATATATTTTAAGGTGATCATAAGAGTTTTGGTGCCTTAAATATATCTCATCTTGTAACGAGATTTTGGGGTGCACCTTACTATGATTGTATAAGGTGTCATGAGATTGAGTGGTTGACACCTTGTACAAACCTCAAGCTTTATAAACATGATCATGTGAAATCATCTAATATGTATAAATAAGGAAGTCAAATTTTTTATTTTGAATATATAAAGTATTATAATTAGAGATTGGATCCAAAGAGTAGTCTTAGATGGATTTAAAATTGGCGTAACTGCCAGTACCGACGATTTGAGATTTTTCAACCAAATACTTAAAATAACAAAAGTAGTATTTCTTAGATAAAACGGATTATGAGTTTTAAATAATTAGATTTGACTGCCCCTAATTTTTCTAGAAAATACTCATCTAGTGAATATTAAGTGGATCCCAAAATTTCAAAAAAACATTGCTTAAGTAATGATTTGAGCTTTTTAAACTGAAACACAAAGTGAACTTTGAGAGCAAAAAAATAGTGATTCGTGCTCTTATGGATTCTCATTGTATACTTGCCCTCTCAGATATAACACTCATATAGAAGATATTATGATATAAACTTAATTTTGCTTGTTGATTTAGTACTATTGCTTAATTTTTTGAAATTATTCTAGTTATATTTTCTATTATAAAGATCTATTTACGAAAATGAATATTGTGGAATAGAGACCCTTTCCAGAGAAACATGATATTTTGTAAAATAAAATCCAAATTCTAGAATGACATCCCTAAAATTAAGAATCCTAAAAATACCATAGTTTGATTTTTACCTGAGGGCACTTCAGCACATTGCGATTTCTTTTTATTAGCAGTAGATTAGTTCATGAATTATTATTATTTATTCTTTAATGCAATATGATACAAGATTATACCATATAATATAGATTATACTATATTTTATATCATATTCTTTCTTTTATACTATATTATATATCATATTCTTTCTTTTATACTATATTATATAATATAACATACTATAGTTTGTTATAATTTTTAGAGAGAGAAACTATCTGACTTTTTAAGTTTTAGCAAGAGAAAGTATCTTAAAATTTAGAAAGATAAGCTATATCAAATTTAATGTTTTAGAATGAGAAGCTATCTCAAAATTTTAACAGATAGAAATTATCTCAATTTTGAAGTTTTAGAGAAAGAAAGTATCTCAAAATTTTTAGAGAGATAAACTATTTCCAATTTCAAGTTTTAGAGAGAGAAACCATCTCAAAAATTATAGAGAAAGAAAGTACATAAAAAGTTATAGCGAAAAAAACTATCTCAAAATTTTTATATTACATTAAAATTTGTAGAGAAAAAAACTATCTCAAAGTTTTTAGAGAGGGAAGCTATCTTAAATTTCAAATTTTTAGGAAGAGAAACTATATCAAAATTATTAGAGAGAGAAACTATCTCACAAATTTTAGAGAGATAAACTATCTTCATTTTTAAGTTTTAGAGAGAAACTATCTCAAAAATATTAGATAAAGAAAACTACATCAAATTTCAAGTTTTAGAGAGAAAAACTATCTCAAAAATTTTAGAGAGAGAAGTTATATTAAAATATTTAGAGAGAGAAACTATAGCAAAGTTTTTAGAGAAAGAAACTATCTTAAATTTCAATCTTTTAGATAGAAACTATTTAAAAAAATTTAGTGAGAGAAACTAACTCCATTTTTTTTAGAGGGAGGCATTATATCAAATTTCAAATTAT